ATGTTAAATTTGAAGCATTTTGAAAAACTTGATAGTTTTTGAAAAAATCGGCCTCTACCCCTTATGAAATTTCCAGTCAAAAATCGAAATTTTTGATTCACGTTTTTTTACCTCAATTTATTGTTTTTTACCTAAATAGTTGCCTAATATGCAAATTTACAGTATTTGAGTCCATGAAACGAAAAATATCGCCGATTRAAGATCRTAACCGCTTAAAAATCGCTCAAAATGGATCARAAATGTCGATTTTYTCGAACCTGAACGTTCGACAGTGTTTTTCAATCAGTTTCCTGCATTATTCGCTTCCRTTCAATGAAAATGATGTTAAATTTGAAAAACTTGATAGTTTCTGAAAAAAACGACCTAAGTTACATCGATTACAGTATTTGAGTCCATAAAACGAAAAATATCGGCGATTAAAGATCGTGACCGCTTCAAAATCGCTCAAAATGGATCAAAAATGTCAATTTTCTCAAACCTGAACGTTCGACAGTGTTTTTCAATCAGTTTCCTGCATTATTCGCCTCCGTTCAATGAAAATGATTTTAAATTTGAAGCATTTTGAAAAACTTGATAGTTTTTGAAAAAATCGACCTCTACCCCTTATGAAATTTTCAGTCAAAAATCGWAATTTTKTATTCACRTTTTTTTACCTYAATTTATTGTTTTYTACCTAAATAGTTGCCTAATATGCAAATTTACAGTATTTGAGTYCATRAAACGAAAAATWTCGCCGATTRAAGATCGTRAYCGCWTAAAAATCGCTCAAAATGGRTAAAGAAATGTGKATTTTCTCGGGCCTGAAGCGWCTAGAGTGTWTTTCAATCAGTTTCCTGCATTCTTCGCTTCCCTTAAAYRAAAATGATGTTGAATTTKAAGCAYTTTGAGAAGCTTAATAYTTTKTRGAAAAATCCACTTTCACACCTRATGAACTKTTCGGTCAAAAATAAAAGTTTTYCATGCACGTTYTTTGCATTTCAACTGATTTTCGACTTAAAAAGTCCTTAATTATCACATTAAAATATTGAAGTGCATAATAAGAAAAATTTCGTCGGTTCAAGATCATGACCGCATAAAAATCGCTTAAAGTGGATCAAAAATCTCGATTATCTCGGTCCTGAAGCYTCTAAAGGATTTTCCAACAAGCTCCGAGCATTCTTTACTTTCGTTTGATGAAATTGATAAGCTTAAGGCATTTTGAAGRAATYAATCTTTTTACAAAAAAATTWATCCACCCCTTATGAGTTGATCGGTCAAAAATCGAAATTTTACATGCACATTTTTGARCTCATTGCGTAGCTTCCGAGTTTAGAAGCGCCCCAATATGCATATAAAAAGTATTTGACTCAAAAGTAAGGAAACTATCGTCCATTAAAAGTCGCCACGGCAAAAAYACYACTAAAAATGTCTRAAACTTTTCATTAGTTTATATGAGAAGATTCTAAACTATTTTTAATCAGCTGATTGCATTCCGCCCTCCATCTCRATACCACTTGAAGCATTTTGAGCGATTTTAAGAAAAWWTYTTTCAATTTTACTGCCGGAAACCGCTCAAGATCAAACTGCTGTTCTTAAGCATTTAAAAGCGTTAATAACCTCCAGCTTGCACTGATATAGTGGCAATTTATTACTCTTTAGGTGACATACGCGATTGAAAAATATTTAGCTCTA